AGCAAAGGAAAATTGTGAGGCAGATTGCTATCTTCAGCAATTTTGCATCAATATATACCTGTTAAATTATTCAGAGATCAATCACAATCCTATAATGTGGTAGATACAACAGTTTTGGTTCATTTTAAAATGTAAAGAATATTAAATAAATATCAAATTAAAGGACTTATCAAAATTTATGGGACCTCAAATTAGAAGATAAAAATGATTTTCCAGATAATGTCTACTCATTGATATTTAAATTCTTCTCCACAACTCTCCTTAAAGCCTGTCAAATCTGTCCATGAAGAATATACCCAATAACTTGGTATCCCTAACAGGTAACTTTTGTTTACTTTTGCAAAACATGGGGCAAATAGAAAGACCAAACAGGGATTCTCTATTTGATGCTGATGGCAGGAGGCATAAACCATATCCAGAACATTTGGCTTCAACCATATCACAAACTTCCAATATCCACTACACAAATACTATATATAAAACCATAACCTAGATCTCAGATATCCAGCTTCTCATGAAATATAAATTCTGTGAGAGGGGAAAGAGATGATCTTCATTGACTATTGTACCCTAAAGCTCATCAATGTGCCCGAGAGTTTAATGACAATCTCAATTTATTATGCAAAATGAAATAAGCACATATAAATCATCTGACCAGTTTTCCACCACCTGTATTCCATGAATATGTTTATTTTATGCTGTTTGTTTGAGGCATACAGCCATCCTTTCTTTTCTTCTGTGACATATGATAAAACTGGTGTGATATTTGGTTTTAATGTCAACCTGTCACAAATTAGAATCACCATAGCTGAAAGCCTCAGCTAAGAAATTGATCTGATTACCTTAATTGGATGGGGAAGACCCAGTCCAAGTGTGCTAATCTAGTAGCGTCCCAGATTTAAAAGGGGGGCTCTGCTGAAGGAGGATTACTTATCCTTTGCTCTCTTGGCTTTCTCTCTTATCACCAGGTTGATCTACTCTGCTGCTGCTGCTACTGCTGCTGCTGCTGCTACTGCTGCTGCTGCTGCTGCTGCTTTCTTCCCTAACACCAGAGCCAGCCTTCCCAAGCTTCTATCACTGGCTAAGGACCAGAGGCTCTCCAGAAAACTTATAGCACTGAGGGAAAGGTTGGGACAGCTGAGGATCCAACTTCTTCCACTAAGCAACTATCAGTTTCTCAGCCTCCCAGATGTGGCACAATGTTGTTACTATTTCATAGCAAGCCGATTTAATACATTCTTTTATTATATGTACATTCAATCTATTAGTTCTGTTCCTAGAGAACCTAATGTGGTGGTTTGGATGTAGGCTCATGGGGAGTGTCATTGTTGGCAAGTGTGCTCTTGTTGGAGTGGGTGTGGCCATGATGGAGGAAGTGTGTCACTGGGGGAAATGGAGGGGATGCTTTAGGGATTCAAAAGCCCAAGTCAGGCCCAGTGTCACTCTTTCTTTCTGCTGCCTGTGCTTCAGATGCAGACCTCTTAGCTACCTTCCTAGTACCATGTCTGCCTGCATAAGGCCATGCTTTCCTCCATGATGACTATGAACCAAACCTCTGAACTGTAAACCAATTCCAATTGAATGTTTTCCTTTAGAGTTGCCATGGTCATGATGCCTTTTCTCAGCAATAAAACCCTAAGACACATGGCTAAAATGCTTGTGACAGGGTATGTGTTACAGGAGGTAAATCAGGAACCAACAATGAACGTAATGATTAGCAGAAATTCCAATGTTGTGAACATACATGACCCTGATTCTTGGAGCATACCCTTCAGAAAATCCTATCTACAGGCAACTATTATATTTTAGTATTAGAAATAAACTTTGTGACAGTTTTATTATTTTGCTTAAACATCTAAATAGTTAGCTACTGGAGACACAGCTCAACAGATAGGAGACACTACTGTTTTTGCAGTGTCTGAGTTTGCTTCTCAGCACCCACATCAATGTTCTCCTGGCCTTCCCAGGTACCAGGCATGCACATGGTGCACATACATATATACAGGCAAACACTCACATGTGTAATTAAAATAAGTAAATATTTTCAAAATAGTGTGCATAACTTTTTAAAATTACTGTTACTGATTAATATATAGTGTGTGTACTATCAGATGTGGTGCAAGAAGATCAATACCCAGTAAAGAAGACCCATGCATACATATTGGAAATTTAGCAGACATTGTACAGCTTAGAAATTGATCTTTATTACATAGATCCTTAGTTCAGAAGCTGTTGTTGCATGATTTGGTACCTTAGATGAGTTAAGTCTGCTCTTCATGTGCGTGTGTATGTGTGTGTGCGTGTGTATGTGTGTGTGTGTGTGTGTGTGTGTGTCTGTGTGTGTGTGTGTTTCTGTCTGTGTGTGTGTATGTGTGGTTTAAATAGCAGTTTAAAGTCTTATGTCTTAGCCTTTCTTCAAGCTGTGGTTGTACCGGGCAAACAAGCGTGGAGTCATTACTCAATGTGCGATAGCATTTGTAAACAGCAATGAGGTGGAAAACTAATTAAATGTGGCTGGAAATTATAAATTAGTTAACGTTACCTCCAAGTTCTCTTGGTGAATGGCTGCTGTGGGGGAAGCATGGAGGATCTTCAGGAAAAGACTTTACCTTTTGTAGAAAATGTACCTAGGCCTCAAATTGGCAGTGAAACAGGGCTTTAGGAACTTGGACCAAAGCTCTCTTCTTGTTTCTTGGCAAATGTGTGCTTGGCTGATTTCAGAGAGTCTGCACAATTCCTATATGTTATGTGATGTGTAAAAGCTAAATCTAGAAAGTTTATTGTGTGTATTTATTCACTATTGTATGTATCTATAATGTGGGGGATTGGAAAGAGTACAACATATGTGTATGGAGGTCAGAGAACAACTTTGTGGAGTCTGTTCTCTCCTTCCTTCTTTAGATGGCTTTTGGGGGTTGAACTCAGATCTCCCAGCTTGCATAACAAGCACTTTTACCTCCTGAACTATCTCCCTAGCCCAGGTTTCAATTCTTGTTTGGGGAAAACATACTATATGGGAAAAATAGTTTACCTGAACCAACCTTTTTAGGATCCTAGTCTGTTAAAATATGCTGCAGTTAACTATAACCACATTTTTTTTTTAAGTTTGGAAAGAGCTTTTCACACATGTCCCACAAGGAAAATCCATTTTGAGCTTAAAATTGATTTCCACTTATGTTGTAACAGATTGTATAATCTCTGCGTCTAAAACACGCTGCAGTCTGCCCACATTTAGGAGGCAAGTATCCGTATCCAACCAGCAGCCTTGCTACAGATTTTACTTGGGAATTAGTCTTCATTTCCATCCTTCATCATTCCCCCACTTCCCCAAGCCCATTCCAAATTTTTCTTTCCAGAAACTAATTTGACCAATTCTTCCACCCCCAACAAACCATCTGGCCAAAATCTGTTTTAACCTAAATCCTGGGCCAGTGACACAGAATCTATCGCTATAGGTTAGGCCGTAGCAGTTTGCTTTCTGTCTTTAGAAAAGTGTTCAAGTTTAGTGAAAATAAAGAGATAGTTGAACTAAGAATTTGGCAGCCAAGGGGATTTGACATCCAAATATTTCAAAATATTTTCGCTTGCAGTAGAAATATGCTCTTTCTTATCAACCTTATCACCACCCCATTCCTTGATGGCAAACAAGCAATGGAGAGAGAGAGAGAGAGAGAGAGAGAGAGAGAGAGAGAGAGAGAGAG